GTGCTCAGACCTGGCATCCCCAGTGGAGGGCAGGTAGGCATCGTGTGAGAGCAGAGGAGAGACCCTGAGGGAAGCACAGCCTCACTGGCCAGCAGTGAGCTGAGCGCGCATGAGCTGAATCTAAGCACAGTAGACTCACCCGAAAACACAAATCAAGCAACACTCTATTCTTTAAATGTCAGGGGGACGCTACTGTTAAAAAATGTTAATGTCATAAAATACCAAGAAAGGCTGTGAGCATTCCAGACTGAAGGAGGCTAAAGAAACAACTCAATGTGAGACTTACCCCGAGACTGGATCCTGCACTGGAGAGGGGTGGGGGTACTGAAAAAGACATTAACTGACAAAATGCGAATGTGGATTATACATTAGATAAAACATACAACAACGTAAACTTGTGAAACTGATAACTGCTGTGGGCATGTAAGAGAATATCATTCTTCTTAGAAAACATATACTAATGTGTTTAGGGATCTGAGTAAATATAAGGGCATATATGCAATTTACCTTTAAAAGGTTCAGAAAAGAATTACATCTCTGTGTGTGTGTGTGTGTGTGTGTGTGTGTGTGTGTGTGTGTGTGTACGTACACAGAGAGAAAGAAAATGATAGAATTTAGAATTTGGGGCAAATGTTAACAATAGGTAAACCTGAGTAACAGGCGTTACAAATGTTCCTTGTACTATTTTTATTTTTCTAGTTGTAAAATAAGTTTAAAAAGTGTTTTTAAAAGTCATAACTACAAATTCTAATTTTATGAACAAAACATAGGTATTAGGAATGGAGAATGAATAAGTAAGAAAGCAAAAGCAGTCCTAAGTCCCAATTTGGTGGGCAGGAGGATTGAGAATGTTAAAATTTTAGGGAGTCAAAGTGACTACGTGATCTTTAATATATTGATAGAGGCTTCTAACTTCAAATATGAGTTAAAATAGAAGAGTGATGTAGTAATATGTGTTTGGCTTGAAAGGAAGGAGGGCAGAGAGGAGAGTTTGGAAAATAAACATCCTGATTAGTTGGAAGACATTAGAAAAGGGAAGAGCATGAACAATCGATACAGTCCATCGTGAACATAAAGTAAGGAGGGAGGCAGGGCATCGATCTGTCAGGAGAAACATGCACAGGCTCCCTCCAGTCTCAGATGAAGGGGACTCTCAGGCTGGGATGGGAAATAACATCAAGCTACATGCTCCCTACAAGAAACATATCTTTAAACTTTCACAGAAAGGTTAAAAATTAAGGGATGGGTAAAAATAAACCAGGCACATGCAAGCCAATTAATATTTGATGGAATGAAATTCAAAAGCAACGATTTTGACATCATCCATAGGAGAGGCCTGGGGGTTTACCGTGATGAGAATCATTTCATACCCCTCCCCCAGCTTCTGTTTACCTCTAGAAGGGTCTGCACTGTTTCCTTGGCAACCCGGTCAAAAGGGGAAAATTTGTTCCAGAGTAAATAGCATTCATGATGGATGATGGCTGTCACAGGCCCTAATTTCAAAGCTTTCTGTCGTGAAATGTTGATTAATAATAACATCCTAATACTGAGACAGACATTCTAATTTTTTTATATATATAAAGAAACATGAACACATGATTCTTTCGAGTTTGTACTCGTGCTCTCAGATCGCTTCATTCATGCTGAAGAACAGACAGGATGGTTTCAAAGGGTGTGTTGAATCCACCGAAATTATGGCTGCTAAAATCTCCCAGGTCCTTTTCTAAGTCCCTAAAGGCAAGTAGAGGGCCCCCTACCGTCCAGATCCACAGAAGGCTTTGTGCGCCGGCCTCTTTCCACGCCTGAGTTTCTGCTGCCCCCTACAGTCTCTGTCTGGGCACTGCACTTTCCCCTTAACGCTGTTTTTCACACCTGCTCCTTCCTCCCTGCTTCATTCATTCATGCCAGCATGTTCCTGGAGCTGCGTTAGCCCCATAAATCAGACCACAGTGCAGTGCAGCGGCTGCATAAACAGTGGTGTGAGGGCGCCGCAAGCACAGTGTGATACATTAGAATCTAACACACGGGTTGGAAGTCAGTGATGGATCTTCCCTCGTCAGATCCCGTCTTCACCAAACTTGTCTGATGACTTCCTCAGACTACAAAGAATACCAAAGACGATGCACACCTTTCTTTTTATGGCTATTTGCTTCAAAGTTTACGTCTTCTTACTTTTTCTATTTAAGTGATGCAATGTTAAATGTGTTCATGTGATTATGTCACACACAGTGAGGGAATTTTTGATGCACTTTTTCCTATTTTCCCTTGTTTGGCTTCACCCTTTCTGCTTCCTACAGACACACACACACACACTCATATAGAATGGAGCAAATTAGGTTTACAGTTGTTCAAATGGAAAATAAGACAATAATTTATAAATAACTAGAGGCCTGGTGGACGGATTCATGCACCGGTGGGGTCCCTCAGCCTGGCCTGCACCCTCCCACAATCCGGGACCCCTCAGCAGATGTCAGACTGCCGTTTCAGCCCAGCCTTCAGGGATCAGGCCGAAACCAGCAGTCCAACACTCCTGCTCATCCTGGCCCTGCTGTGGGAGTGCACTGACCACCAGGGGGCAGCTCCTGCATTGAGCATCTGCCCCCTGGTGGTCAGTACATGTCATAGTGACCAGTCGACCAGTCATTCGGTCATTCAGTCATTTGGTCGTTTGGTCTTTCAGTTGCTTAGGCTTTTATATCTATATAAAAAAAGGTTAATATGCAAAGTGTCCCCATAGGAGCTTGACCGGGAGACCAGGAGACCGGGAGTTTGATCGCTCGCTATGATGTGCACTGACCACCAGGGGATGGTGTGGAACAAAGGAAGGCCCCAGCCGGCAGCTGGCAGCTGGGGAAAGCAGGCCCTGACCAGCACCTGGGGAAGGGAGGCCACAGCTGACAGCAGGCAGCCAAGGAAGGGAGACCCCGGCCAGCTGCTGGAAGGCTCCGATCAGCCCTGATCACTGGTGCGGCCTACAGACCCTACCTGTGTACTAATTTCATGCACTGGGCCTCTAGTATATAGATAATACAAGAATAAACCTTATGGCTCATGTATTCACAACTGTAAACCTACTTTTGCCCAACCCTGTGTATCTGTGTGTGTGTGTAGTTTCCCAAAAATGTATACATACACTTTGAGTAATTATAAAGGCAGTGTTTATTAAAATATATTTCATTTTCAAAATTGAACTATCAGCATTTAAATTGTGTATATATTGGGGGTGGGGGGCACCCATATATAGGTGTAAACATTTAGGGGAAAAACTTCTTTGTGTGTGTACCCATCAAAATTTCCAGGTTATGGTTTGTTGTTTTCCTTCATGCACTCAGCATCCATGGACTTTTTTGGCTGGAAGTGTCCAGACCTACCTGCTCTAACCTCTGCCTCTGCATAAGCAATGGACAAAGCCTCTAGGTTACATGATGCTCGTCTTAAAGATATTCTGGATCTAAGGCTTAGGGGTGGCTACGGGCAGGCCAGTAAACATTTCTGTGTTTTGTCTGCTGGAGCAGATACAAAGATGTGTCCTTATATCTAAATATCTCTCTAGTTCCCATTTAAACCCATTTTAAAGAATGAATATATATTGGATCCTCTGTTCCTGAAATCCTTAAAATTTATTTGAGAAAACAAAACCTGCAGGCTGTGTGGCATTGGGCAAGTCACTTAACCTCTCTGAGCCTCTGTGACTGTCATAGACGTTTTGTTGTAAGACTTGAGATAATATATGAAAGCACTTAGCAAAAGCCAGCCCCTCCTCACCAGCCCTCCCTCCTCTTCCTTTCCTCACTGGAGCCAGGACTGCATCTGGTCTGCAGGCTCCCCTGCCCATTCCCACTCCCTTCATCCTTCATGGTATTCCCCCAAGCAAGTCTTACACATTGAATCCTAACTTAGTGTCTACTTCTCAGAGGACCCCAACTAATATAAGATGCCTCATCCCAGTCACCATGAGCCAAAAGGACATAGATGGCTCCAGTGAAGAAGTCAGACTGGGGACCAGCAGGAAATAGAGGTGGCTGGGCTAACAGTAGGGGAATGAGTCCTACAGACATATATGACCCCCAGAGCAGCTAAGGGTGAAGGCTCTGGACCATTCACTCAAGTCCAAGGTCAGATTGCAGACCTGGTCAGAGGCTGGGCTTTTGGGGGCAGATGGTGAGGGGCCTCTTGGAGGGCTTTTGCCAGGGGAAAGGGAGTGGTTGGAGGAGCTCAGGAATTTTGCTCTGCAAGCTTTATCTTGCACTGTGGAATGCAAAACCTTGTCTTCTATCCAATGAATTCTAAGCTTTAGCAAGTATTCAAGAAAGTTATTTCATTGCACCATATAATCTAAGGCTGATCCTAGACACACAAAAGTGTAAATGGTGCAGAGATACCCAACTTAAAAAGTAACCTATGTTGTGAAATGTCTATACGGTTTAACTGGGGAGAACAGTCCAATTAGTTTACCACCCTGAGCTTTAGTTTAAGGAAACTCAACTAAGTGAAGGCAATGACACTGCTGGGCTCGGATCCATGGCAGCTCTATGAACTTAGACTTTTCAGTAACTGAGCCAGGAGTGGTGGCATCATCATTTCAGACGTCCATTTCAATACCTGCAGGTGCTGGCCTAGTTTTATTTGGCCAATTCTTGATATCATGTCCCCCAAAAAAGATTTATAAACAAATTTGTCTCTTTTGTCACATGCGACTTTCTATTTCATCAGGTGTAAATAATTGCGGTTGACAGTTTATACCAGTGATGGCGAACCTTTTGAGCTCGGCGTGTCAGCATTTTGAAAAACCCTAACTTAACTCTGGTGCCGTGTCACATATAGAAATGTTTTGATATTTGCAACCATAGGAAAACAAAGATGTATATCTTTTTATGCTTTTTAATGATGTATTTTATTTGACTATTTCCAAAACATCATTTCAACATATAATCATTTTAAAAATGAGTATTTTACATTCTTTTTCAGACTATGTTCTTCAAATCCCTTAGGTATTTTACACTCATAGCACAGTACGTGGCTATGACTATCATGTTGGGCAGCACTACTTCAGATGGTATACAAAGCCAACGGATTGATAAAATCACCTAGAAGAGGGTTTCAGCCTTGGTACTACTGACATTTGGGACTGGATAACTTTGTGGGGGCAAGTGAGCTTATCCTGCGGGATGTTCAGCAGCGTCACTGGCCTACAGTCCATAGGTCCTTGAAACTCTGTGTTGCTGAGGCCCCTGGTGGCCTCGACCGCATCCTCTGCCCGCTCCACGTGTACGAAGGCATAATCTTTCACGATGTCACATTCAATGACTGGACCGTACTCTTCAAACTTGGACCGAAGCTCTCTGTTGGTACAAGTGGGACTGATGTTGCCCACATGTAACTTTGTGGAGGTTTTGCTCTTATTCTTGCTGGCTTCCACATTGGTGTTCACCCCGTGCAGCTTGTAGTGGTGCAGGTTGCGGATGGCATCTTCTGCCGTTGTCTTGTCCTCTATGTGCACAAAGCCGTAGTTCTTAATGATGTCACATTCTAGCACCTTCCCGTACTGCTCGAAGAGTGTGCAGATCTCCTGCTCTGTGGCCTCCCAGGGCAGGTTTCCGATGAACAGCTTCACCATCTCGACACTGCCCGCACGGGAATCAGCAGGAACTCTTCCTCGCAGCACCGATGCTTCTGACAAAATGCTACAATGGCCAAAGATGTATATTTTTTATATTTATTTTATATATTTAAATGTCATTTAACAAAGAAATGAGTTTACCTGTCACCTCTGAAATGCGTCTCATAGGTTTGCCATCACTGGTTTATACTGACAAGCAGTGCACTTTGATTTTTTCTTACTTTATATCATGACTAAATTTAAGTGGCTCCAACTATAAATATTAAATGAGCTTCCTAGTGTGAGGCCCCCAGCAGCCTCCCTCTGACGCTTCCCTGTACTGGGGTCCAGGGAATATGGGGTGTGGTGCACACAAGCTTAGACTGGTATCTGAATAAGTCACCAAGAACCCTACAGAACAGCCACATGTTTCTTTAGAGATGAGTATCAAGATCCTCCCCCGACCCAAGGGTAGAATGGATGCCAGATCAAAATATAAAAGTTGCCCAGCCAGTGTTGCTCAGTGGTTGAGCGTCAACCCATGAACCAGGAAGTCATGATTCAATTCCTGGTCAGGACACATGCATGGGTTTTGGGCTCTACCTCAGTAGGGGCATGCAGGAGGCAGCCTACTGATGAGAATCTCTCATCATTGATGTTTCTCTCGCTCTCCCACTCTCTGAAATCAATTAAAAATAATAATAAAAAAATAAATGTAAGTGAAAGTCCATATATTAAACCATGGAACTCCCCCCACTCAGCTCCTTCGTCTACCCGGCTCTGTGCAGCTGCAGCCAGACTTGCACCCTCTGGCAGGAAATGGGGGATGCGCTTCCTTGTCTGGGGGATATGAACATTAAGAAGTCGCCCAATAAAGCAATGGGGTCCCTTCCAATCATGCTTCAGTAGAGCCCACCTGACACTAGCCTCATAAGACACATGATTTACCATCAGCTCAGAAAGATGCCTCACTCATTCTTAGTCAGGCACAACTTGCCAGATATTGGAGGAGTTGGTCTAAAATAAAAGCAAAACAAAGGAGATCACATCAAACACATGGAAACCAAAAATCAGAAGACACCGAGACTATGCAGGGAGGAGTAGAAAAAGCAATGAATGTGGTCAGAGAAGTAAGCAAACATGGCATCCTGAAACAAGAACAGTAAAGTATTTTAAAGAACAAGAAGAGCTATAGAAATTAAAAATCTGACAGTCAATGTTTTGTAAAAATCAGTAAAGTGCTGAAAAATAATCTCCCAGATATTTTTAAAAGATAACAGGAGGCGAAGGCAAATAAATGAGAAGATCACTGCAGGATGTGCAACAGCAAAATAATCAGAATTCCCAAAAGAAGAATGGACAAATTAGTGCAAAGAAAATGATAAACAACCCACAGCAGCAAACTCCGCCAAACTAAAGACACAGTCCTCCAGACTCTGGACCCACTGAGTACCTGTGACAACAAAGATCCACGACATGACACATCCCCAATAAACTTCAGAACTATAGATTCAAAGAAAATCTAAGCTTTCTGGAAGAATCAGGACACAGATAATTAAAAAAACAAACAAACAAACAAACAAGAATCCAAATGGTATTGGACTTCTTAAATGGGGACACTGGACACAAGAAAACAAAGGAAGAATACCTTTAAAATTCTGAATGAAAGTGACATTTCACCAGAATCAAGACCCAGCCAAACTATCAATCAAGTGTGAGGCTAAAGGCATGTTCTGTGTGGCCTCAGGCAAGTGTCATAAACAATAAAGTAACACCTGCCTTGCCCATCTCACAGGGTCCTTGTTAAGGTGAAATAAAGCATAGCTTCTATTCACAATGCACTGACTCCCTTATACATCACAAATTCGAGGTCACTGTCTCATCATGATTCATTTGGGGACCATTTAAATTACCCGGGCCAGTGACTCACACTGTAGATATCAATACATATCAATAGACATTAATAAATAGGTTTTGAATAAATAAGTAAGATTTGTAGAAAGACTTTCTAAAGGTTGAGTTGTGGGGCATTTTATATATAATAATAATAATTAAGAAACTATATATATACATATATATGTGTATATCTATACTAATAATAGAGGAATATGCAAATTGTCTGGGACACTGTCACAGTAACAGTAACGACCAAACAGCAGGCTGTGTGGGATGACAAGGCCGGCAGGGGGTTAGTGAGGGATGACCAAACAACTGAATAGCAGGCTGCATGGGGTGACCAAGCTGGTGGGGGAGCAGTTGGGGGCGACCAGGCCGGCAGAGGGGGGATGTTGGGGGCAATCAGGCTGGCGGGGGGGGGGGGGGTGTAGCAAGGGGCAACCAGGCTGGTAGGAGAGGCAGTTAGGGACAACCAGGCCGGCAGAGGAGGCAGTGAAGGGCAATCAGGCTGCCAGGCAGAGGCAGTTAGGGGTGATCAGGCAGGCAGGCAGGTGAGCAGTTAGGACCCAGCAGTTCCGGATTGTGAAAGGAATGTCCGATCCCGGGCCTAAACCGGCAGTCAGACATTCCCTAAAGGGTCCTGGTTTGGAGAGGGTGCAGGCTGGGCTGAGGGGATTTCCCCCCCCCCCCCCGCACGAATTTTGTGCACCAGGCCTCTAGTGTATATATATGTAATACAACATTAGAGAAAAATAAAGTACAACATAGCTAAGAAATAAGATATTGTGTATTCATTAAGCTAAGTGGCTACTTGTGGGGACATTGGATATTCTGATTAACATTTAGGAGACAAAGCCTGGGAAAACCCCACTATTCCAAAGTTGGGGTCTCAGTGAACAAAAATTTTGCTAATCTGTTAGGCAAATGCTGTTTGGGAATTTATCCTAAAGGCACGGGAGACTGTAAACCAGAAGAGTTAAATTACCCATTGGAACCCAATTAGTAGCTGAAAATTTGGGTGAGTAAAGAATGCTCCCCATATGAGAAGAGCCCTGAAGCAAGACAGCAGCCGGGAATGTAACTATGTCTAATTCTAACCACCAGGTGGCGCAGCAGACAGCAAAACTCTCAGCAGTGGATGGCAAACCCATTCCTTGGCTGTCATCTAGGAAATAGGAATTTGGGAACCCCAGAAATTTGTCTGCAGGAGAGTTCAAAGTCAGACACCACTGAGATAGTAACCCCATATTTTCATTTCACCCTTCTCCCAATTTCACGCTAAAATGTACTTTCAGGAAATGTATTATCTGATAGAACTGGCCCTTGAGCACGAAATGCTGTGTTTTCAGGAATTAAAATGTTTTTAAATGAGAATTACATTATATAAATTTATACTTAGCTAGATTACATTTAAAACAAAGATAATAAACACTCAAAGCTCATTGTTACCTAATTATTTCATTACATTTTATTATTTCCTGTGCTCTTGAGCTCATTTATATGTCTACTGTATCCATACGACAGAAATCCTATATAATGGGGTTCTACTGCACATCTCTTCCCAGCTCCAGGCCCAGTGACATCAAGTTGGAAATCTACAATTGGCCACTTGGGCCCTAGCCGGTTTGACTCAGTGGGAGCATCGGCCTGCAGACTGAAGGGTCCCAGGTTTGATTCGGTCAAGGGCACGTACCTCGGTTGCAGGCTCAGTTTCTGATAGCAGTGCATGCGGAGACAATGAATGTGTCTCTCTCCCATAGATGTTTCCCTCTCTCTCTGTCTCTCCTCCTTCCACTCTCTCCAAAAATCAATGGAAAAACAACCTCGGGTGAGGATTAACAACAACAAAAATAAGTAAATAGGTAAATAAACGCACAAAAAATTTTTTTAATTAAAATAAAATTGGCCACTTGGAACCTGGCCATGGAAACTAGCAACTGATCAGCTCTTTGGGGGCTGGCTGTTGAATGTTTACCAAATACCAGTGGGCGGGAGGAGAAGGGGAGTCCACCCACACCAGTAAATGATGCTGGAAGTATATTTTGCCTTCTCTAAAGTCAAACAGGGAGGTTGCTCAGGAATGGGGTTAATAGATACGTTATGGCTCATTCCTCTAAATGAGGGATTAGGAAGTTTTCTCCCATTTGGATGGCTGTCTTTGATGATACATTCAGGGAATCATCTCTTGTAGTGACAGAAGGGAATGAGAAGAATCTCTAGACTAAGTAAACAAACCACAAATTAAAGACGGGGTTTTGTGTGATATGAAGAGCTTGATCCGTTAGACCTGGGTGATGAGGGACACAGAACTTAGGATGTCTGCGGCATCGAGTTGTGAAATCCCTGCGGAGCCTGTTGGAGCACAGCCGACCCTCTGAGAGCCTGGCCTGCACACAGCCTGTCTGGGCCAGCGGCAAGCTCAGCGAGCCCCTGAAGGCGCGTCCAACTGGCAGAGACCGGACAGCTGTGGGATGAATTGGATGAGACTGTCAAACCCATTGCATAATCCGCACTTCAAAACCCAGACTGCAGAGTTTTCTCACACCTTTTAGATTCACTTTCCGATGAGCTCATCAGACGAGTATGTGCTGGCTCTCTAGTACTTAAGCCAACACTGAGAAGTGCTGTTTCAATTTTTATTTTTACGAGCTATAACTATAAAGAGAACATAATACTTTCCCAAGGCACCCAAACTGTTCCATACACTATAACAAGTAATAATTTGCTTAAAAAAAAAAATCAGTGATACTTGCCTGGCTAGCATCAGTGGTTGAGCGTCGACCTGTGAACCAGGAGGTCAGGGTTCAATTCCCTGTCAGGGCACATGTCTGGGTTGCGGGCTCAATCCCTAGTGTGGGGCGTGCAGGAAGCAGCCAATCGGTGATTCTCTCATCATTGATATTACTATCTTTTACTCCTTCTCCTTGCCTCTCTGAAATCAATAAAAATATATTTTTAAAAAAACATTCATTTATTCAAAAAGAAAAAAGGGGGAAAAAATCAATAACACTTTAGCACAGTGGTTCTCAACCTTCTGGCCCTTTAAATACAGTTCCTCATGTTGTGACCCAACCATAACATTATTTTCGTTGCTACTTCAGAACTGTCATGTTGCTACTGTTATGAATCGTAATGTAAATATCTGATATGCAGGATGGTCTTAGGCGACCCCTGTGAAAGGGTCGTTCGACCGCCAAAGGGGTCGCGACCCACAGGCTGAGGACCGCTGCTTTAGCAAGTGCTTCCCTCTGGAACTCGGATGCCACCAAAAAACGGCCGTGTGTTTCCTCACCAGAGTGTGCACACTGTCATTTTTAGAATTCCTTCTGTCATACGATGTCCTCATCGCCTCAGGGGAGAGAGATGTCACGTCGGAGTCATCTGAGACCCCAGCTGTCTTGCTGTCACAAGCCCTCTCCGAACTATTTTGGCTCTGCCACAGCTGCGGTACAGCCCAGGGTGTGACCAGGCCTGGGGACAGCAGTGACGAGGACGGTGAC